CGAGATTCTGTCTATTAGGTAATAGTCAATAAAGGAACTGTACTGCACTGGAAGGCCTCGATGTGTTACTTGGGCTGAACCTGACATCCTTTGAATAATTGTTGGCTTACCGGATGAATCTGGCCTTTGGTGAGGAACAACATCTGAAATGGAAAATAGACTGGAATGTATTTACTTATTTATTCACCCCATTTATTAAAACCACCACCTTTCCCCAAACAACTCTGGGCTGTATAGCACAAAGAAAAAAAAATGAAGCAAAAAGAAGTATTCCTACAGAAAAATTATATACATGCATGTGTAGATACATAAAGACAAAAATGTACAGATGAGCACACACAGCCAAATGGAGCTGAATGCCTGATGAAATAAGGAGGATTTCCCAATGTCCCAAAATACAAAAAGAGAAAGTGCCATTTGGACCTCTGGGAGAAGCAAGTTTCCTAACACAGGGTCTGCCCCAGAGAAGGCCACCCACCTCATCCAAGTCCCATGAACCTCACTGCGAGGATTAGGCAAACAGAGGATACTGTGGCAAGGCAGCGATTGTACCGTAAGAGCTGTATATGAAATCGCTAACACTCTGAGTTGGGCCTGGCAGCTAATAAGAAGTCAGGCCAGCAACTTCAACATGGGTGTTACTCTGCAAAGGCAGGGCAGTCCCATCAGCAACCTCTGCATTATAGAGCAACTGAAGCTTCTGGATTATCTCCAAAGGCTCTATCATTTCGTGTGTGTGTCCTAGTCCAACTACGGGCTAATCAGGGTGTGAGTTAAAATCTCATTAATCCTGGCTGAGGCACGACCATGACTGGCACACCAGGCAAAGCCGGGCAAGGATCCAGCTGGCCAATGTTTTCACTTGATCTTTACGCAGGAGCTGTGACTCCAGGAGCACCCCCAAGTCATGGATAAAGGCCTTCAGGGAGAGCATGACCTCATCTAGAATAAGTACCAGGCCTGGAGTTACTGGAAAGCCCAGGTGCTTACTGACAAGGAACACAGTTTTGGAAGGGTTTAGTTTGACCTTGTCCCATCTCCCTCTTCAAACCTCATCCAGTCATCAGATGCCAGTTCTGGCTGTCAGGGGCATTTCTTTTCAGCTCAGGGTGCAAAGTGTACTTGGACATTGTCAGTTCTAATGACACCTCACTATTACAATGATCTCACCCAACAGCTTCATTCAGATGTTAAATATTATAGCAAAAAGTACTGAGTTCTGTAGCACTTCCTATAGGAATGGTTGTGAAATCAGGCACACTTCCCCTGTGATTCCTGACTTGAGCTACTCACTCAGGTAAGAGTGGAACTACCATAAAATGATGCTGCCAGCACAAGCCCTGGCAGACGGTCCAGAGGAGACCAAGGAAAATGGTTTCAAACGCTGCCGAGAGATCTAATAGGACCATCAACCAGAATGACCAATAATGTTTCTCTTTCATGACTAGGTCTGACGTATGATTGGCTTGGATCCAGTTAATCCCTTACTCTTTAACACCTCCCTAACTTTCCCTAAAAAAGGGAGGGGGGGTTGAAGATTGGAGAAAAGTTGAGAGCAACTTCTTCCAGAAGGAGGACAAGGCCTTCTCTCTTGAACTGACAAATGGAAAATCCTTCTGAAGTCAAGATGTAAAAAGGCTGAAAATGATCTTTCGTCTCAAATCAGTAATCAGGGCAGTGAATGCCTGCAGTGACCACCTTACCCTCGTTAACCTTTCTGTGGCCATGTTGTGCCCCAACTGAAATTTCCAGATTGTCTTGGAAAGGAGGCTATTACATTACACCCCTTCCCACCCTAAGCTGAAACTCACAAATAACTGAGCCAAGATCCAGTCTAAAGATACAGCTGCAGTTGCTTCACCATCCTATACAAGTCAAAAGCCCTTTTGGCCACCAGTTGAGCTTTCCACTTAAGGGAGAGTCCAAGT